CCCCCCCCCCCCCCCCCCCCCCCCTATCTTTCTCTCCCTCTCTCTCTCTATATATATCCATATATTATAAAATCAGACGTCTTGAATTCGAATTTTGACTACTCATCGAAAATAGACCAAGAGATTTATCTCTCGCAAATATCCTAATTTTGACATTGATGTCCTATTTTTAATCAAACCGAAAAAAAATTAGTCAAGATCCGTAATAAGTTAATTTTGACTATCTTAACCGTTGAACAAAATATACACACACACGCGTAGATTCATACATGCAAACTTATATTCTAGATAGAGTAAGAAATATGATATGAAAGAGTTGTTATATCAAAAAATATATATATAATCTTTAATGGTTTAAGTTACAATTTTTTGAGTTGTAACATTTTGACGGTAATGTTATAATTTAAAAAGTTATGATTAATTATAAAAAATATAATTTTTAAAAATCAAACAATACTCGTTATGAATAACGTAAACGTTTATGATTGACAATAAATAATCTCAATAAATTATAAAATAATTCTTAAAAATTATTTGTAACTTTTAGTGACTAAACCATTTACATATATTGTCAGCATTTGCATCAGCTGTATAATTATCAAAAAAAAAACTATAAGTTGAAGTATGCATGGATGTGACCCAAGAATTAATGTTGGAAGTTTTTCAAGATCCAGCTGCTAATGATAAATGCTCCTGTAAGTTTATGCATGTGATGCTTGTTATGTGAGGACATGTACATTTAAGGTACATTTATGATATGATTAAAGGTGCTTTTCTAGGCTACTATATGTGGTATATTTGAAAGAAAGAGCAAGTTTAAGAAGCTTTCCTTAATCTTGAAATTTCTGATATCCATAAGTACTCGTCTCTTTAACCGATTAAGACACTACACTACACCATTAAAGGTATGCCCATACTTCCTTCAGCTTTTTGTGTGCTCCTTTTCCTTGCCTCTTCTCCAACTTTGTCTTCTTGAGAAGCATCGACAGGAACAAGATGATTGTGGCTTGTCCTTCTTATAGCTTGTTTCCATGGAATTTGTACCAAGAAAACTTGGATGCTATACCTACCTAGAACTTGGAGACTTCAACTTCTTCATTGAACCTTCATCTATTTTGTCTCAACCATGGTTAAGGATTTGAGAAGATAATTGAAGTATAAATCGAGCAAAACGTTATTAAGTTATTTTGACATCGAACGATAAAGTCAGTAAGATGAATCAAGTTGCATAGGTTAATTATTGTAGAAATGCAATGAGCTCTTCAATGGATATGGTGGAATAAGAGAATCTAAGCCTCTCTATTGAGTTGAGCAAGAGGAAACGGGGGATTGACGAAGCAAGGTAATATAGATGATTGAATATGTTTCTAAGTTGACCAACTTTTGCATTAACCGATCATTGATCGTTGCCACGAATTGAAGCAGTACTTATTTGAGTTTGTCACATTATGTAATGGGGAGCCTTGATAGTTGTCATCATTTTATTTTGCATATTGCCCAATATGGAAGCAAGCTATATATATATATATATATATATCACAGCTAACCATATAGAAGAAAGTATATTTTTCTTTCTTAATGATGTCTAATAGATATAATTCCATTCTTCTTCTCACAACACTTTAACATGAGATTATTGTGCTTTAATAACCATACAAGTAATTACTTTTAGATAAACTTTGCTTATCCCAAATGCTACGAAGACCACCATGCACAATGATATCTTCTTAATTATGAGAAGTTGAGAACTTAACTTTCTCCTTTGCACTAGAGTATGATAGATTCGGGTTTTTTTTAAAAGATTTTACTAATTCGGAATTAGAATTGAACTATATACAATAAAAGTATTTAAACCGAATTCTGTTTTTAACCAAGAAAAACTATACAAGTTTTCGATTAAGGTTAGTGTGATTAATGTCCAATATCTGTTTGAACACGCACAATGAATTTTTTCTAGAATTATATGGTTTCTAGGGATGAATAGTGGATGTCGTATATTTCATAAGGTTGTTTATTTTGCTGGTTGATTATGATTAATTCCTCAACTTATCGTCAGCTTATTAATACTGAAATTGAATCGCGGAATGTTTCATGCACCAAGGAAAATAAAAATCATGAAGCTAAATTTTTATAATTTAACCGCCATAGTGGGTGGCAAAGTCGAGTTTATAGTATAGCTCGAAGGTATGAACTAACAACCACCATATTTTATGGAGAATTCAAGACAGTGGAAGACAAGAAAAGTTACATACCATATGTGCTGGAAATTGATAGCCTCATTGATTTAGTTTCTCCAAGTTAGTTCAAAACACAATGCTACCGAATTGTTGAGGATTATACAAGTTGGTATATATATATATATATATCCTCTCTCTCTTTTCATTCATTTCTATGTATGTTTACACTCATGTTTTTTGCTAGTAGATTATGTGAGGATGGAAATTAGGTCTAAGAAAAATGTGAGTAAACAAAGATGCTCACAATTTATAGGTTTCTTTAATATTTTCAAATGGTATGTAACTTTTTACACTAAAAATAATAAAATCTAAGAGTGACACATGAAGGTGATCTGATGGTTGACAAAGAGTCGGTGAGAGTCTAAACCTAATAAGATAGTTAAAGAAGTGTGACATTACGAATCGCCGGTTAAAGATGGATTAATGTACGTTTGCATATTTAAAATACGTGTTTGAATTTTAAATCTAATTAAATTTTGACATACGCACAATTAGAAAGTACGCTAAACACAAACTCAAGGCCGACCCAACAGCATGAAAAAAAAACATGGGTTTTAAGCCTCAAATTTTTAGAAGGCTCCATAATTTTAGGTGCATCATTAGTCCACAAAAAAATTAAATCCATTAAATTTTAAGCCCTATGAAAAAGCCCCCAAAAATTAAATTCAATCAAAATTCTTATTGCAATAATTTGAGTCTATAAATCAATTCATAACATTAAAAATAAAGAAATTAAAAAAATAAAAAAATACTTAAAAGTCAACTCATATTTATTTCAACCTATTCTCTTTCTCCAATAAAAAAAATAAAAAATAAAATAAAAGTTGAAATTAAACACTTTCTCTCTTTCTCTATGGTAAAAAAACAAAAACAAAAATAAAAGTTAAAATATCATTTTCGAAAATATTAACACATCTTTCTTTTATTTCCCTCCTACATAAAAAATTAAAAATAAATTATTTCTTTTAAAAAAATAACACTAAAAATAGAAGTACTTCCATTTAATATTTTCGTTTTACGCCTTAAATTAGTTTAAGCCGCCCCTGCACGGACTAGAAATGGGTTGTGAAAGGATGGGTTTTTCATAATCATTCTTCTTCTGCCATTCTCAATCTTTTCATGAACTTACTTGTCGTAGTAAATTGACATATTATGTGTGACCACAGAGTGAGTCACTGGGGATTATTGAATGAAGAAGACGAATTGGAAGATAAAGTTAGGCAGTACTGGTGTGGTGGTTAACATTTTTTGTTAGTAATTGAGAGAAAAAGGCAAAAACAGAAGAGTA